AGAGCCCGGCCTACAGCTGAGAGGGGGAATCTCCTCCAGGGCCAGTCCCACTGCTCCCCAGGAGCCTCTCCTAGGGCAGTGCCCTCAGCCTGACTCGGGTCCTACCCAGCCCAGCCCCCATACCCCGAACAGGTAGCAATTGGGGGGCAGGTAAGAGACATGCCTCCCTCCCCCCACCCTGCTGTTCTCCCCCACACTCGGGACTGCAGGTGGAGGGTTTGGCCCTGGGCTGTTCCCAGCAGAGCTGGCTGCGATCCCTACCCAGGGAAGCTGCCACCAGCTCCCACTGTATGCAAGGTGGGGGAAGCCAGCACTGGAAGGTCAGGAGGGGGCTGAAGAGGGGCAGGGGCATATAAGGGGGGGTGAGAGGAAACGGATGTCTGAGGCAGGGGCAGGAGGGGGATGCATGAGGCACTGAAGGGAGGTTAGGGGAATACCGGGGCAACTTATGGGGTGGATGGGAGCAGCGGTGCAATGGAGGTAAACTCTGTGGGGGAGGATCACAGGGAGGGAAAGGGGGCATGTGGGGAGAAGAGGCTAGGGAAGACTGTGGGAGTAAGAGTAGCCTGGCTGGGGAAGGGAGAGAGACAGGACAGTCTTCACGGCTGAGGACATTGGGGAGATTCCTGAATCTGCACCGTCCTTTGTGGGTGATGAATCTGAGGAACTGTCCCGGATTGAAGTGTCATTAGAGGAGGTTTTGGAACAAATAGACAAACGTAATGTTAACAAATCTCCGGGACCAGATGGCATTCATCCAAGGGTTCTAAAAGAACTCAAATAGGAAATTGCTGAGCTATTATCTGTGGTTTGTAACCTGTCCTTTAAATCAGCTTCCGTACCTAATGACTGGAAGGTAGCCAACGTGACACCAATATTTAAAAAGAGGTGATCCTGGCAATTACAGACCGGTAAGTCTATCTTCAGTACCGGGCAAATTAGTAGAAACAATAGTGAAGAATAAAATTGTGAAGCATGTAGAAGAACATAATTTATTGGACAAAAGTCAACATGGTTTCTGTAAAGGGAATCATGTCTTACTAATCTGTTAGAGTTCTTTGAAGGGGTTAACAAACATGCGGACAAGGGGGATCCAGTAGATATAGTATACTTGGATTTTCAGAAAGCCTTTGACAAGGTCCCTCACCAAAGGCTCTTGTGTAAATTACATGGCCATGGGATAAGAGGGAAGGTCCTTTCTTGGATTGAGAACTGGTTAAAAGACAGGAAACAAAGGGTAGGAATAAATGGTAAATTTTCAGATTGGAGAGGGGTAACTAGTGGTGTACCCCAAGGGTCAGTCCTGGGACCAATCCTTTTCAACTTATTCATAAATGATCTGGAGAAAGGGGTAAGCAGTGAGATAGTAAAGTTTGCAGATGATACAAAACTGTTTAGGATAGTCAAGACAGAAGCAGACTGTGAGGGACTCCAAGAAGATCTCGCCAAACTGAGTGATTGGGCAACAAAATGGCAAATGAAATTTAATGTGGATAAGTGTAAAGTAATGCACCTCGGGAAAAATAACCCCAATTATACGTACAGTATGATGGGGGCTAATTTGGCTACGACAAATCAGGAAAGAGATCTTGGAGTTATCGTGGACAGTTCTCTGAAAACTTCCACCCAGTGTGCAGCGGCGGTCAAAAAGGCAAATAGAATGCTAGGATTTATTAAGAAAGGGATAGAAAATAAGACCCAGAATATCTTACTGCCCCTGTATAAAACTATGGTACGCCCACATCTTGAATACTGTGTACAGATGTGGTCTCCTCACCTCAAAAAAGATATTTTGGCCTTGGAAAGGGTTCAGAAAAGGGCAACTAAAATGATTAGGGGTTTGGAACGGGTCCCATATGAGGAGAGGTTAAAGCGACTGGGACTTTTCAGTTTTGAAAAGAGGAGACTGAGGGGGGATATGATAGAGGTCTATAAAATCATGAGTGGTGTGGAGAGGGCCGATAAAGAAAAGTTATTTATTAGTTCCCATAATAGAAGAACTAGAGGACACCAAATGAAATTAATGGGTAGCAGGTTTAAAACTAATAAAAGAAAGTTCTTCTTCACACAGCGTGTAGTCAACCTGTGGAACTCCTTGCCAGAGGAGGCTGTGAAGGCTAGGACTATAAAAGAGTTTAAAGAGAAGCTAGATAATTTCATGGAGGTTAGGTCCATAAAAGACTATTAGCCAGGGGATAAAATGGTGTCCTTGGCCTCTGTTTGTCAGAGGCTGGAGAGGGATGGCAGGAGACAAATCGCTTGATCATTGTCTTCGGTCCACCCTCTCTGGGGCACCTGGTGCTGGCCACTGTCGGTAGACAGGATACTGGGCTAGATGGACCTTTGGTCTGACCCAGTACGGCCGTTCTTATGTTCTTATATGTTCTTATGACAGGGGTGGACAGAAGGAGATGGGGAAGATACAAGGGTAGCTGTCCCACCCCAAGGGGCAGGAGTGGGGGGAGGGCAGAGGTGACTGGTGGTGACACTTGGGGGCACCAGCTCCTATGCCCCTGACAAAATTTCAGATGCTACATAGGGTGCCCCACATGCCCCCTGACCCTGTAGGTGCCCCCTTCCCTCCCCCCCCAGCAGCCAGAGGGGAATTCTGTGGATTTTTTTTAAGTGTTGTAGATATCTGCAAACTGATCCCTTGCACATGTACTGTGTGCATACAGATGTGATGTAATGTATGACCTCTTAAAATTAATTACCATAATGAATATGCAAAGAAAACAGTCTGCCAAAAGCTTATGAATGGGTTTGCCGGTCCGTGGTACAAAAAGATTGGAAATGACTATTCTTAATGACCTCTGATCAAAAAGTAGGACTGGGTGGACGTGTATGCTCTAAATGTTACTTTTTTTACTTTCGAGTGCAGTTATATTAAAAAAAAAGCACTACATTTGTAAACTTTCATGATGTAGAGATTGCGCTATAGCACTTTTATAAGGTGAGTCAAAAAATACTATTTTCATATTATACTGAAAATGTTTACAATGAAAATGTTTGTAATAAAAATAATATAAAGCAAGCAGGGTACACTTTGTATTGTGTTGTAATTCAATTAATTGTTGTAAATTGCTATTTGAAAATATAGAAAAAAGGAATGTAAAATCCTATGTAAATTGTAAACCAGTGAAACTATAAGTTTAACCGGTTATCTGCACACCACGCTTACCAGGATAACTAGTTAATCAGTGCTTGGCCGGGCTGAAGTGCCTCCTCCCCGCATGGCTCAGAGGCTTGCAAGGCCAGACTGGGCAGAGCCCCCCACAATATGCCTTGAGAGGGGGCTGTTCCAGCCCAGCTGGGCACCAGGTAACTAATTACCCCAGTAAGCATGCCGGTAAGATGTTTACTGGTTAACCAGTTAAAATCTTCACGTGTCTAATGGAAAACATCCAAAATATTAAAATAAATGATATTCTATTATTTTAATAGTGCCATTAATACTGTGAATATTTAGTGAACAATTAGAGTCTAGTAAATACTTTTTTCCTGAAATGGAAAAATGAAGAACCTAAAATTCATCTAATTTACTGACCAACAAGTAGCTTTTCATACCACAGAGCATGATTATTTTTTTTAAAGGAAAGAAACAAAACACAGCAAAAATTAAAATAAGTGACTCCAATTATGGTTTCTTACCAAATTAAACTGTGAATACTTAAATCAGTCCAACTTTTTGGCTCAGCTTAATTAACAGGATCGTTGGTCTATACACATTACACACAAATCACTAGTAGCAACAGTACCACCACTAGCAACTTCATCAGTGCACAGCAGGCATTGAAGCAGAACTACTTTCACCCAAGATGGAGAAGAGATCAGAACCATTTACACAGTAGTGAAGGTATATTGGAGGGATGGGCAAAAAGCAATGATGTTAACTTATTAAAACTATTTTCAACTTTATTTTGCTAAGTACAGTTCTCAGATGACAGAGACAAAAGAAAAAAAATCAAAATAAAATAACAGAGACCAAAAGACTAAGGACAGAGATTTGTTTGGCACCACAGAGAAGAGAAACATTGAAAATTTGCCAAGACTAGCATAGGGATGTAAGAGAGCAGTCGATTAGTTGACTACCCAATAAACTTAATCTTATTGGGTGGTCCAGTCCACTACTCCCCCTCTCCCCCAGCCTCTATCAGAGGGAGGGGGGCAGGGGTGGCCTCTCCCGCAGAAGCCAACCCTGACTGAGGGGGGCCGAGTAGAAACTTGGGACCCCCCACAGCCAGGGGCTGCTGCTCAAAAGCAGCTGGCTGCCTAGGCAGCCCTGCTCAGTCCTAGCTAGCACCAGGACCAAACCCCACTGCGGCTCTACAATTTAAAAGGTGGGAGGAGGAAGGCAGCCTCCTACTCCATTTTAAATTACAGAGCCATAACAGGGTTTGGTCCCTGGCATGAGCAGGGACTGATCTGGAATGCCCACCTGGTTCCTACTAAATTTAGGAGCCAGGCAGGCAGCCCCACTCAGTCCGAATGTGTCAGGGACCAAACCCTGCTGTGGCTCTGCAATTTCAAACGCAGTAGGAGGCAGGGAGCAGCCTGCCTGACTCCTACTGTCTTTTAAATTGCAGAACTGCAGCAGGATTTGATCCCTGTGTGAGCCAGGACCTAGCGGGTTTCGACTACTCGATTGCTAAAATAACCCAAATGTAACATCTCTAGGATAGTGGTCAGGAATCACTGACAAAACAAAAGCCCTTGCTCAAAACAACGCGGAGTCTCCTCTGCGTTTCACAGGCGATGGCAGAGCGGAGAGAGCAGGGGCAGCGCCCCAAGAACACCTCGGCCCGCGCGTTCCCGGTGTTATTTACTCCCACTCCCGCCTGCAGGAGGACTTTGCACCTGTCGCGTTGGCATTAACAAAGCCCCCCTCCCACCCGGCCTACTGCGGGCCTGCCCCCGGGCCCGCCCTTCCCTTCTCTCGGGCCTGCGGGCTACTCGCCTCCCCCCCGGGAGCGGTCGGTGGCTCCCTGCCTCTGACTCACGGCCTGAGAGCGCAGGAGCTGGGCCGGGACCATGGCTGCCGGGCCCGGCG